CCCCAAAACCCCAAAACCCCAAAACCCCTTCAAGATAAATATATGTGATGAGAACAGTGAACTAAAATGAGTACTTGAAATATCATGATTAAATTATATTATAGAATTAATAATTATTTGTGAATCACTTATGAAACTTTTCTTGAATATATTCTTGACAATATCAATACAAACAATCCTCTTTGTTGCAGGATAGAGCACTTCAGACTTAGATTGCAAATCATTCAGAATTGGAGAAGCAGGAGGAGGTTTTACAATATTCTCACTTCCATAAAACTAAATTTGCAAGTTTGTTATGGTTACACCTTTTGTTGGGAAGAGAACTATGAATATCACTGCCAAATATGATCATCCAATGCAAGCGAACAGATTAGACTGCCCTTCAAAGACAGTTGAATGCTTAGGGGCTTTAGTTTAGCCCAATGTGACATACAATTTTACTGGAGAAGAAAAGGACCCATATGTTACAACATACACCTTTAGTAACCTAGATTTCAAGCCTAATGAATTCAAACTATTAATGACCTATGATATCTAATTAGGTTCTTCCTATGCAAAAGTTTTAGGATGTAAACTACTGTTTGGGCTTTCATTAATCATGCTGCTTGGACTAATTTGAAAATAAGCAAGTCCAAACTCAAAATGAGCTAGTAATCATCATAAATACTTCACTTAATAAGATTAAGTATACTTTAATCCTAAGTTAATTTGTTATCTAAATGGTTTTATATTTTCTAATACTTCTTAATTTATTAATAAATTGCAACTTAAATTTGCTATCAAAATAAGTTAATTCATAATCATTAAGTTGAAACCCTGAATTCTATATTACTTTATCAGTGTGTCATTTAAATATTCAATCAGAAATCAATCGTGTGTGAAAGTATTATTTTAGGTGCTAACATAGACTGGCTTTCTACTTGAAAACATCTTAATTGCTGCCTCAGTCTCATCGATCTCACTTTCGATTTCTCTAATTAGCTCTTAGTGTGCTTTGGTTATATTTGCAATTGGCATTCTGTTGAGTTGCTAGAATAAATCCTTCCTTCTTTACTAGAAATCCAAAATTATGTTCCTTCTCTCATCATCGCTTAACAATCGTTTATCAGGTTCTTATCTCTATCGGATCATTGGAAGTTTAAGTTCTGTCGATTCTTACCTGTGAGATGTCATATCAGATTATGATTAATTGCCACTAGAATAGTTCACAATTTTCCTGCCTCCATTTTTATTTATTGCTTCGAGGGAATTTGAGTGTATTTCATCCGTTGAATCCTCTAGAGAATTTACACTATTATACTTGTATCTCTAATTGTTTGACAATGACCTGTTCTCTTGTCTTGGTTTTTTTATGTTTGAGATATTTGGATTGTTCTCATTTTCAATGTAGCTGTTTCGGCTTCCATTTATAGGTTCTAGTCTGTCAACAGATCTTTGATGATGATGATAATTTCTTTCAAGATACGAGTAATCACCTTACCTCATCTATATAACTGCTGATATATGATCCATTTATGCAATTAATAAGGAGGTAAATTGAAATATAAATTCTGAATATTTGACTTACCTATTTCACGTAACTCTCGGCATTCTTAAACCTCTTCATCTTAAATAACTCTTATTCTATTGTGAAATTTTATTAATAAATATGGGGTTTTACAGCTCTATATTTGTTTTAGCTCTTTATTCTTGTTATTTTTCTCCTCAAGTTTTTTAATGTATTCTTTTTGCTCATTTATATGATTCTTTACCTTTTTACCCTGTAATTCCATTTCTTCTCTAAAATCTGATTATCAGGTCAAAGTTTTTTTTCATAATGAATGAGTCTTTCTTTATTTGGATAAATTCTAATTACCTATGATTTTTAGCATGATTTAGCGCACGCTTAATATTATCTCCACCAAGTATCTGATTTCTATTTTTCTGTAGGGCAGCTTCTCTCTCTTGTAAAAGTTGGTAACTATCTTTATTTTTCATTGAAATAATCTTTTAATTAATAATCCTATTATTATGAATTACTCGTATATTTTTTAATATCAATCATTTGGGGTTTTGGGGTTTTGGGGTTTTGGGGTTTTGGGG